TATATATCTCTTCTTCTCTCTCTCTCTCTCTCTCTCTCTCTCTCTCTCTCTCTCGATCCTGTAATCCTTTTCGTGTTTTTCTGCAATGCAAATTGCCCCGACAGATTTTAGAAAAAAATTACGTCGTATACGTCACAGTGAGTAACGTTAACGACGAGGAACGACAGCATTACGTATTCCCGATTTCGATAGCGAGATATTGCGAGACCGGCGATTTTCCTCGCCAGCCGGGAAATTAATTCGATGCGCATGGGACTATCGATAATGGACACCGTAAATGTCGCGTCGTGGATGTTTGTGATTAATCGCAACTAACCGAATCGCTAAGACAATTTTCGCAATTGTAATCGGCAAAAGTTTAGAAACATGCAAATTCACACGAGCTTCGCTCTTAGAAAGAGAAAAAGAGAGGGGGGGGTAGAGGGAGGAGAAGGAAAAGGAGAAACTGCAAAGTACAAAACGCACTTCATTGAATGCTAATCACAAGCTGGCAGCTCGCATAAATAAGATATTGAAGAATCAATATTTTGTATATTTTTATGTGTCAATCGATTATTCATTATTATTATTATTTTTTTTTAGCGAGCAGATTTTCATCTCCGATTAATAGCGATATTAATATTAAATCGGAATTTTCGTTTAATAAGCTTAGAATCTTGTTCTGCAGGCTAAATATATCTTCCACTAGCGCGACGTTTTTATTCTCTTATCCTTAGTTATGCGAAAGGATTGCTCATGCGTGAATAACGTAGGCGGGTGATGGAGACGCGAATTGTAAATTTTAGATCGTACCGGCGCCGCCATTTGTGCGTCAAAGGTCTCGAGGTTCCCGAGATATATCGGTCGGTCGAGCATTTCTTTAGCAGTATTTGCAAAATCATCTTGACTATTGTTAAACAGAAAAAAAAGCTATATGGTGTCAACTGGCAGCGACCTGGAATAAATTACACGATGTCGACGAACTATGTATACGAATGCGTATCTTCGGCCATTTGTAAAAATAAGAAAGTTTATTACCATTAATTATTTGTTAAAAATTATATTACTAAAACAGGAAATTATCATACTTTAGATAAATTTATTCATGGTAATGCATTTTTTTCACAAATTCTATAAGCTTGAAATTATTAAATTCCAGAGTTTAATAATGCCAAACATATGTTTATCTTTATGCTAATTTATGTGCAGTGATACAGAAGGCGAACGTTTTTAATACAGAGGGGATATTAATAATTGAGCACGTAGAATTTAAATCTACAAATTATTGCGTGATATTTTGAAAAAATTCCCAACATAGAGAAGAGGAAGAAGTCAAGCATCTCTGGGACGGCTAATGTGACTGTATCTCTTCTCTTCAAATGCATTTCTAGCTTTCCAAATCCTCTCCTAATATCGTAACGTATTCACCAAGGAATTCTCTGAGAATCTCTCGGCGACTAAATTCCGAATCGGCTTGCTAGTTCTTCTGCGCCATCAGGATACATTAATTCAGCTTATGCAATCAAATGCAACGCACTAATTCAACACGCGTGATCCACGATAAAATTGAGTGGGCATGTAAATACTAAACGGCGCAATTAAGGTAAATCAAGGGATCGATGAAGTAGAAGAAAAGCGAGAGAAAAATGTATACTTTTGCACGGGGGATCGCGTCCAATCGCGACTGTTCAAGAGTAGTCTTAACTTAAGTGGTATTAATTAACGTATTCGATGTACTTAAAGCACGTCATGATATTCTACGATGTACCACCTTAATAAGATCATATTTCCCATGATGAAGACCGGAATCGCTTGACGATGAAATCTTGCTTATCAGGATAAAATTGGAAAATACATCGAGAGATAAGATGATTAAACAAACGAAAGAATTTGTTGATCGAGAAGTATGGCATATTCGTCTAAATAAAAAAAAAACGCTGCCGCGTAATTTTTAATAAAAATGGAATCTTTAAAATCTTCAAGAGGATCTATCACGGGTCTATCACATATTTTAAATCAGGCATATGTGGGATTCCGTGGAATTTAGGACACATAGGTCTGTAATTATAGATACATGAAACCATAGTTCCTTAATTATAGATTCGAATGAAAATTTCTGCGGTTATACACCTGCGAAATTGAAGCGCCGTGTAAGCAAGAAGCGATAAATTGCAAAGGTTAATCTAAACGATGATTTGTAGAATTAAGGGTCTAGGGGATCAAAGAATCATATTTTTGGGTCTAAAAAAAACGATAGATTTTATGTAAAACATCTGGTACTGGATTAAAAATGTATAGATTCTAAGAATTAAGAGGCTTAAATTATATTTTTATTTTATATGAGAATTTATTTTATATTTGTTTTCTTAAATAGGAAAAAAATAATTCTGTCTTTATCGCGCTAGAAATTTCGCTCGGAAATCATTGTAACATACAC